AAAGGCAAGTGCCAGTCAGAAAGAAAGATGAAATGAAGGTGTTCCTTCGGTTGAGTAGGTCCTTTGCAGCCACCCTCTGCCTCCTGGGCATGACACCACGTTCAAAGGAAGTTGTCTCTTCCGAAGCTTATGTAGTCCTGAGAACGTGGATGGAGAAACCTTTGTGTTGTTATGATGGGTGATTAATTCACACTCTTGTGGAGAAGATGAACCCTTGACCTGACACCAGAGACAAAAAATTCCAGAAAATTATCCCTCTGTCTGCTGCACTTGGCTGGATTCCAAAAATCCAGCCCAGCTCCAGTGGGAAAGAAACACAGACTCACTCCCTGCTGTGTGTCATGTGTCCTTGACTCCTGTCCCTGCCCAGTCTGTCATGGGGCCCTAATATCTTCTAAGGCTTTAGGTGACTCTAGTTCTGAGTACTTAAATAAATATAGAAACTTCTCCCACAATTGTTTTTTATTATGTTTGCTCAAGATAAAGAGTCATGTCTTTGCAATTATTTTGTTTCATTTTGTGGTTCTGGAGGTCAAATTCAGAGCTTTACCAACATGGTGCGCAGATGCCTTAGATCTGAATTACACATAGAGCTCTTGGTTTTTTGAACAGGGTCCCTATGGAGCCCACTCTGGTCTGGATATCCCACTCCTTCTGACTCATCTACCCAGTGTTATACACCACATTGGGGAGATTCATATGCTTTTAAATATTTTGTTTCTATTTTATGTGTGCAGTGTTTTGCTGCATGCATGCCTGTGCACCACATGCATGCAGTGCCCGTGGAGGCCAGAAGAGGGCGATGTATCTTCTGGAAATGGAGTTGCATGTGCTTGTGAGCTACCCCACTAGAGCTAGGAACTGAGAGCCCTTGTTCTCTGCAGCAAGGATGTCAAGTGCTGTTCATTGTTGAGCTCTCTATCCAGTCTCATGGTTTGGTTGTTCATTTTGTTGGGTTTTTTGCTTGTTTGTTTGATTTTACAGACAGGGTTTTAATGTGTATCCCAGGCTTGACTTAACACATTATGTAGCCTAGGCTGTCTCAAGATCCCCCAGCCTTAGCGTCTCTAGTACTGAGACACCCACACTCCACCATACCTAGTCATAGTTTTAATTTTATTCATATGCATAACCATTTATGTATTTTGAGAAAGTTTCACACTATACCCCCAGATCGTCCTGAACTGAAATCAGTTCTTTGGTTTCAGCCTCCTGTGTATCGGGATTACAGGCCTGAGCTTTCATGCCCAGCCTGTGAGCTTTGCTTTGAAGAAAGGTTCTTTCTGGCTTTGGACAGCCCTATATAAGAGGAGCTCACAGCAAGGGCTGTGGAATGGCTCAAAGGAGGCAGTCAGGCCCTCATTAGTGACCTGACTGCACAGCTCCATCACAAAGACCAAGAATAGAGAGCTGTTAGGTCTTGAAACAAACAAAGCCAGAAATAGAGCGGCTTTGGTGCATACTCTGTTCTTCTGTGCTAACACATTTTACCGGTCCTTTCCCAAAGGGACAAGTAGCAGGCTCAAGTGTCTAACTATTGTGTCTAACTATTGCAGTGGCATGCCCTCCCACCCTCTCCTTTTTCAAGCAGTAGGTGTCAGCCACACACAACCTTTCTCTTTCTAAGATCATAAGTATTTGTAAGGAAATGACCCATCCAGCAAACGTCTTTCCTTGTTAAAGGGGCCAATTTCTTATTTTCAGCAAGCAAAATTATGAGAACAGTCTCCAAAATACTGGAAATAGGACTGTACTATAAAAGTAAGTGCTTGAGAAATATCCAAAAAAGAGGCGTGTATAAATACGGTGGTAAATGTCAGGAGTCTAGGTTAAGGCCCATGAGTCTCACTGAACAGCAGTGCTGACATCAAAAATGTCTTGAACCATTTTTAAATGTTTTAAGTTAAAACCATTAAGACATTAGCTCAAAACACATAGGGTCCTGAGGCCAGATGACCCTGAGGCTAGCCTGGGCTACAGAATGTGACCAGCAACAAACAGGAGAAGACCTTGATCATAAGTCTTGGTTTGTCTCCCAGGGAAAGAGGTTATTGACAAGTAGTTACAGCGTCTTGAGAAAGCTCGGTGTGAACCAGTAACAACCTGCTTTGCCCATGACCAAATCCAGTGTTTGCTGCTTGACCTCTAGTAAGACACTCCTTTAAAGTCTTAGCCTAGTATTTTAAAATCCTTAAAATACAAGTTATGGGAGGGGTTAGCTGGGAGAGCCTTGACTAGCAAGGCTCTATGTTTCATCTTCAGCAACATAGAAATAAAAAGTAAATCTTTAAGAATAACTGGGTCTATCTGGGCTTGGTGGCACATTCCTTCAACCCCAACAGAGCTCTGTGAGTACCAGGCGAGCTTGATCTACACAGCCAGTCCCAGGCCAGCTAGAGTTACTTAGCGAGACCCTGACTAAAACAAACACAAACAAAACAAAAATTGGCTTTGTTAGCCAGACTCGGGGCTGTGCACCTTGAATCCCAGCACTCTGGAGCTGGAGGTGGGCAGATCACTATGAGTTCAAGGCCAGCCTTATCTAGGCCAGACCCTGGCTCAAAACTGATGGAGGGGGGAATGAGGCATTATTCAGGAAGGCTTAAAGCAGTGTTTAATGCAAAGAGTAAAATGAAAGCACAGGGTAAGTGAGGACCAGAGCCATAGATCGAGTGACCAAAATGTAAGGAACACCCATTAGCTATTTCACAAATTGTTTTGACATATTACACCAAGACTTCTTTCTTGTGTTCAATATTAGTTGTATGGATTTTTGATACATGCAGCATTTATGTCATGAAAATGTCACCAGCCTAGAGATATAATAAGAATTAAAGATCCCTTTAAAGGAGGGAGGTCCCTTTTCTAGATTTCATATTTCATCATCAATAAGCAGCTGCAAGCCACTCATAAATTGCAAGTACTAAAGAAAGGGAGATCTCGGTTTTTAGCAAGCCTCCCTTTCCCCTTTGGTGCCACACCGTACCCCTAAATCTGTTTGGTTCAAGATTTATAGAATTTGTAATTGTATTTCTCTTCTGAAGAGGTGCTGAGGCTTGCACACAGCTCCTTGTTTGCACTCCTTTCTGGAGAGATCTCAAAACCATCATCACACACTTGCTATGGTCCCACACTAAGCCTGCAGCATTTAAACGGAAACTACAAAGTATCACTGGAAAAACTCCCATTTGAGAAGCAGAAAGGTTTTATCCCTTGATGCTGAGAGCAGAAATCTTCAAATCAGATTGATTAATAATGAACCCATCAAATTTCCCCTTATGCCAAGGCAATCCACATTTCCTCATGCTCGCAGACTCCTTCCTTACTTCCTCCTGTGGAGTCTTGTGCTATATATTCCAACCTTGCCTGCTCTCTTTGTTGGAAATGATTTACACGCTCCCCCCACCTTCTTCTATGTTCTTGCTGAGGCTTTCAGTCTGCTGTATCTTAAACTAACAGAAGGAGAAGGGGTAGAGATCTCAACCTTTGAAACCTCTTGATACTTGCTGAGTAGAGTGATCAAGGGGCAGTCAGGAAGGGAGACTGCTGATTGGACTTTGCCCTATCCGGAAGAGCTGTTCTAGATAGCATAACCAACCCCATTTCTAAAGGGCTTAAGTTTTTATCTTCTTGAAAAGCCCAAGTGTTTTAGAGCATTTTCCAAAACTGAAGCCAAATTTGTGTAGTTAGTGATCAGATTGGGGAAATTAGTTTGTCTTATTGAGACAGAATCTCACTTTGTACCTCTGGCTAGCCTTAAACTCAACGAGATCTGCCCGCTTCTGCATCCTAAGTGCTCAGATTAAAGATGTATGCCACTAGGCCCTTTGGAATTTTATTTATTTTATTTGGAATTTTATTTTATTTATTTATTTTTGAGTTTTTTTTCCTAGACAGGGTTTCCCTGTATAGCCCTGGCAGTTCTGGAACTCACTCTGTAGACTAGGCTGGCCTGGAACTCAGAAATCCACCTGCCTCTGTCTCCCAAATGCTGGGATTAAAGGCATGTACCACCACTGCCCAGCAGAATTTTATTTTTTAGACTTATTTTTAAATCAAATCATTTTGTATAGTCTATATAAAAATAACCTTTAGATTTTAAGCATGGTCTATTAATATTGTTTCATTTTTTTTCAGAGTTCTTGAGATAAAGCAACAGTTTTGAGTTAAATTCTTCAGGGAAGTGACTGTGCAGTGTCAGTATACTTACCAGTTACCGTTCTTAGCATCAACACATTTGCTTCATGATCAGTGAGGGGCTCACAATCCTCCCATCCGAAGTTCAGATAATTCGTGATAAAATATTAGGGGTCATGGGGCAGGTCAGAATTCTCCTTATCCTGCTTCGGACGAACGTTGCAACTACCGCATATTCTTAATAATTTTATTTAACTTTCATGACAGTCCCTAAGAGAAACTCTTCAGCCTAAAGTTCTTCTACATCGCCCCCATCAAAACCACCCCCTATTTCAGGAAACAGCTTGATGACGGTATCCCTGCAGCTTTCTCGACCTTGTCCTCAAATGATCCATACCTAAGCATCTTAGTACACTGGCCAGTGTATTTCTGAAGGCATTGAAAATCTCCAGAACTGTGTGCCCTTATAGAGCTCACATATGCTGTGCAACCTGAGACGCAGCCTTGGCTAGTGACTTCCATAGGGGCCAGCCCTTCCCTTGCTTCCACTAAGGGAAAAGAAAGAAAGAAAGAAAGAAAGAAAGAAAGAAAGAAAGAAGGAAGGAAGGAAGGAAGGAAGGAAGGAAGGAAGGAAGGAAGGAA